ACCATCTATTTCACCTATCACTCTGACAATAGATCCAAGATACCTAAACGTGTACTCTTATTAATGACTTGATCGCCCAAAGACCAATCCCCTCACTAGGACATTTACTGCTAAAATTAACACTCCATAATATTCCGTTTTAGATCTCCTCAAGCGAAAACCTTTAGACTCTAAGGTTGACCTCCATAATTTCAAGTTTACCTTCAACTCCTCTCTAGTCTTATCAACAAGAAAGATATTATCAGCAAAAAGCATACACCAGGTAACATCATCTGCAAATGTCTAGTGAGAACATCCATGACTAAAGCAAATAGATATGGGCTTAAGGCTGATCCTTGATGTAACCCAACCGAAATAGGGAATACTTGAGTCAAAACCACCTTGTGTTGAACACAGTAAGTAATACGTCCTGCATACATATCTTTAATGATTTGAATATAAGCATTATTGATCCTTCTTATCTTAAGTTAATCTCCATAGCAATCTTCTTTGGAACTTTATCATATGCTTAGGAATAGATAGTATCATAAATATTTTTATTCTCTAAAAAAATCAATCATCACTAATCAATTATTTTAACCTTTGCAGCAATATAAGCATTCTTTTTTCAATTTGAAATAATTTTAAAATTTATGTCGTCATTTAACTTAATATTTTTTATAATAATTAATAAAACTCATAATTTTAAATTAAATAATATTATCATTATCTTATTTCTCTTCTCCTACTTCTATAAAACCCTAAAATCAAATAAATTAAAATTTTCTAAAAAAATAATACTATATAACCTAAACTTTTCTCTAAACGAACCCACGAGCCCTAGCCTTCGCCCTTGCTCCTTGCAGTTGCCCTTGCCTTGCCCTGCCCGTACTAGCTTTTCCGCTGTGTGGCTCCTTGCTCATTGGCTCGATCACAAGTGCTTTCATTGGCACAAGTAGGAGTGTAAGTGAGCCGAGCCAGCTTGCTAGCAGGCTCGAGATGGACTCGTTTATGGGCTTGCAAGCCAAGCTTATCAAGCTCACGAGTCGAGCTCGAGCTCACGAGCTCTAGTTCGAGACTTGTTGAGGCTCGGCTCGTGTGCTCACGAGCAGGCTTTAATAATTATTCAAATTATTTTTAAAATTTAAATATTAAATAATATAATATATATATATATATAGATATATATTTAAATATTTTAAAAATAATAATAAATTTTAAATATATTTATTAAATTTAAATATTTTTAAATCCCGCCGAGGCTTGTGAGCCATCTCGAGCTCATTTACACTGGGACGAGTTCGAGTTCGATAAGGCCACTACTCGACTCGTTTACATCCCTAGCCACAATCTGCAAGTTTATTTTCCCTTGCTCTCGCTCTCTCTTTCTCTCTGTGTATCTCGTCTCTCTCTTCCTCGTCGATTTAAAAAGGACAAGAAGCCCTTCATCTTGCTCTACATCAAGCCACACGACTTATTTACCTTCCTCAAATGATGGAGTCGACTACAATCCCTTCATCTTCTCACGCAAGAATGAGCTAGCATTTACCGATTCGGGATACCAACACCCCCCCCGGCGCGCGTGTCTATATGCCATGGTAAAACTTTTATGCTTGGCCATTTTCATTGCACGTTGACCTTCTTTTAAAACTAAGTTTTCTACCATACTTGTTTTGTTCACATTAAAAAGGAATCCCACAAGTGATCAACCTATTCTCCTCGTTGGAACGTTCACTAGGGATTAGAATAGTTTTTCGTTTATCTTATTTCCTTTTTTACTCTGAGATTAAAGTATGAACCGTGCTTCTCTAAGTAATTATGATCTCGCTCAACTTTTTTCAGCAATTAACACAAATAGGAAGTTGCCTTTGGATCTGAAACAAATAGCTATTAGACACTGCAGCTTCCTTTTTTCAAGTGCTAGATTTTTTATGGTTTATCATATTAGATTTCTTACTTGTGTTACATCTCTAAATGTTAGATGGGGATTGCTGCGATTGTGCACCTATACGTTTTCCCAGCTAGGCCATATCAACGCGGGGAGAGATGCGTCCGTAATGTTTCTGTTTTGGCTGATTATGCTTCCTTGGGAGCTCCTCCTGATCCGGATGAAATCGCAGAAGGTGGAAGGCTGGCAAGGATGCATATTTCTCATTCCGATGACAATCAAAGGCCGCTGAGTTTCCCCCAGAGTGTTCGTGATGTTGTTTTTGGTGGCAGTGAAATTGTATGTTTCTTTATTCATTCTTATTTTTATTAAACCTTAAGGGGCTGTTTGGTAGCATCCCGGATTTGATTTAAGTGGGATTTCGTAAATCATTTAAATCCAGATTTTAGAAATCCTGAGGGGCTTAAATCCTGAAAACTGTTTGGTAACATTCATTATAAATCCTCTTAAATCTCATGTGACTGTTTGGCTATAGAGCAGGATTTATCGTGCGACTCTTCCTCTAACGCCATGGATTTCATAAATATGTCAAAATAGAGGATTTTGGAAATCCGGGATTTAGAGCGAATTGGCGGAATTTTCCGTCTACAGCAGATTTCGTTTGCCGTGAGATCTGGTTTTGCATTTTAGGCCGTTCGGCTGGATTTCGCTCAAATCCGCCTCAAATCCGGCCTAAATCCTGCTACCAAACAGCCCATAAAAGTTTGTTCTGTTTGTTTCTTTCATCCCTTATCTACCTAAACTATCCTTCATTTATTTAAATATTCAGATGGCCGATGATGTCAAGTTTACCGTTTCACATGTAGTAGAACCTATGGAACGTGGTATTGCAAAATTAAACGAAACACTCCATCAAATCTCAGAAAGTGTGAAACGACATGAAATGCGAAAGAGAAAGGCCAAGGATGATTCCTATCTTATCCCTATGCCTTCATGGACAACAGAATTTTCTGATGCTCATGAACACATTTCCGAGGGAAGCTTTAGTGACACCGGACTATCTCGTAAGAAAACAAAGTCTGCAACCTTCAAGGCCAGGATCTCTGATGTATATACTCGACATTCCACATTTGAGCATGGTAGAAGTAGCTGGATCTAGATGGGTCCTTCCTGTAGACTGAATTCAATTATAGCAGCTGGTAAGTTCTTTTCATATCCTTGGGATTGAGCAAAATATTTACTTTTCTTTTTATAGCAGCGTTCTTTTAGGCTTCGTTTGGGACGGCTTTCATACTGTTTCTTAAAGCAGCTTTCATACTAAAAAACTGCTTTAAGAAGCAGTAAGAAAGCCGTCCCAAACAAAACCTTAATGCCTTTAACAACTAGATATATAATCTCAGATAGTTACCCTGACGATACTCTGTTTTTCGGCATTTCGGTGGATTGAAGCATCAACAGTATATATACTACAACTTCATGTAGCTTTCAGGTCCTTACAGTGCAACTAACTTCGATTGGATACAGCGGTGACAAACAACACAACACACATGAATTGTATATGTAAAACATTTGAAAATTGAGCAACAATGAATGCTAATTTCTATGAAAGGATCAATTAACGTCTAAATCTACATTCTTGACCTGTTTGGTAAGTACTGCTTATAGCTATCTGATACTACCATAAAAGGTTTCTGAATTTTTGTACATATGAGGTCTATATGATGTTTTGCAGGTTCTCCTGCTAATCATAGCTACAGGTAAAGGTATTCAACAATTAATCAAGACCTTTTTAGAAATATGTGAAAGTTAATATAGGAAGCTTGAATAATGTGGAAGGACTAAAAAAAAACGTGGAAGTAAGCAGGTCAAAATTAACATTGTGAAATATTGTTTAGAAATATGTGAAAATTATCACGTTACAGTTATCATTGCAGTCAGAGACTATGGAAGACGGATCACTGTTAGGAAAGAAAATTTGTTTTATACTCTGAAGCCTCAGAGAAATTATAAAAATATTTAGATTAGAGTTCGGATGTAGAGCTATGTCCAGACTCTGCATCAAATAATTTCTTAATTATGTGGGATCAACTATATAATTTTTTTTCTTTATTGTATCTTATTAAGAGTTAAATTCTCATTTAAATGTAATAAAAAAATTTATTTCTAATAGTAAATTAATCAAACATATTTAGGTAAACTACTTTTATTAATATAGGTCAAATTTAATACATCTATTGTTCTAATTGGATCATCGAGTTGTTGATGTTTTATGTGACTAAACCATCTAAGGTGGCTAATTTTATCTGCTACGAGAGCTAAACCAATCTTTTTACATATATACTCGTTTCATATTATCTCTAAGTCTAAACCCAATTATTTGCCAAAACATTCTCATCTTTGTAAGATTTAATTTTATTATTAAAGGATTCATGTCACTAAACCCAATTATCCGCCAAAATATTCTCATCTTTGTAAGATTTAATTTTATTATTAAAGAATTCATGTCATGATTGTTCGATAAATTTTATGTTGGTTGTCAATTATGTAAGTCAACATTTAATTTTTTTCATCTAAGACTTGGGATTAAGTAATGATTGTGTTTATGAGCAAGGAGCAATATTTCTGAATTTTATGTTATTTTTAATTTCATACAAATGCCTCCCAGCAGGAATGAATGCCACAATATAATTTAAAAATTCTGACTACAAATAATTTGGATCAGGCTGGTTATTTTGCTTCTTTATTGTCTTATATATTGGATGGTGAAATTTGATAACAATTGCTGCTTTTGAATTTCCTTGGTTGGGTCATGCTTGTAATTAAGTTCTCTGAAGCTTGTTCAGGCACTCTAAATCTGATATTTAATAAGAAAAATGGGTGGGTGAAGAAATAATACCTTAGTTCCGTTGGGCTTTTTCATTAAGTTAATGGGGATGCTAATGGATGAATCTTTGTAAATTGTAATTCATCCGAATGCCCTAATTTAAAAAAGGAAAAATTACATACATACCATTTTATAACATCTTATTTACATATCTAACACCTAAACTTTAATATTACATGCATATCACCTTATATTATTTTAATATCAAATATACCACTTATATTTCTTTCCTACCACTCATATATTTATTTTCTATCAAATATAAAAATGAACTATGTATGATATGTATGTAATATTAAGGTTTCAGATGTTAAATATGTAAATAGAATAATATAAGATGGTATATATGTAAATCTCCCTTTAAAAGATTTAGAGTGATTTGAGATGCAAATATTAATCTCGACAACATGCTTCACCTTTATGGCCTTGGAGAAGCTGTTTTATGGTGGAATTGTGTTTAAAAAATTGAAAATATACTGAAGAAAATTCGTGAAATAATTAAAACAAAGGCATATAAAAGGGAAACGCAACAAAAAGGGTCCAACATATGTGAATCAATAGGAGAAGTGAAGCCTCTTAATTGTTGGAACTTTTATTTGGTCCGTTTACCTGACGTAGCTCTATGTTCGGACGCCAGTAAAATAGTGTCACGTGTTCTCACTATGTTCGCGTGTTGCTAGGTATTGCTCGGTATTTGCTTGGTATTGGTCGATTTTGCTTGGCAATAATGAGAAATATCATTCTGTGAAGACAAATACCGAGTTTTTCTCGATATTACTCGGTATTACTCGGTATTGCTTGGTATTGGTCTTCACAGAGCAATATTTTTCATTATTGCCAATCAATACCTAGCAATACCGAGCAATACCGAGCAATACCGAGTAATACCTAGAGCAATACGCGAATATAGCAATCCCGTGTCAAGTCTTCGGGCTGCGCGGTATTGAGTAAGATCACGTGGCGACATGTTATTGGTGTCCGAACGTAGAGCTACGTCAGGTCACCTGACCTAATAATTGTTCCAATTGTTGAGGCCAACATTCAAATAGAGGAGCTCTTTTTTTTTTTGGATTGAGTGGAATGGAAAGAAACATTGTGCCAATACTTTATTACTTTGTTATAAATTTAGACATTGATTAGTACTGAGTATTAGAAAATTCACGTAGAGAGAGAGAGAGAGAGAAAGAGAGAGAGAGAGAGAGAGAGAGAGAGAGAGAGAGAGAGAGAGAGAGAGAGAGATTTACATTTTAATTTTGCATTAAAGTTCATTACATAGATAAAAGAAAGAATGAGGAGACATCAAAGTTTTACATGAAAAACTCAGGACAAGAAAAATTAATGGGCCTAGCCTACTTGAAATAATCTTATATAAGGTTTTAAAAGTTGCTCTTCTCAACAATCGGAGAATTTACACAATTGGGAGCACCTATTTGCTCTCCTATTATTGTAGTAGAAATTTTGAGTGACATCAGTTGAGCAATGTTAGCTAGGCAACAATGTTTTGATTAGGTTAGTTAGTCGATGGTTGGAACAATATGATCATATTATAACAATCATGTAACAGTGGTCATACATGATAGTCATATGATGATAGTTGGGTGATAGTTGGAAGAAAACAATTAGATGGCAGTGAATGGATTATAATTGTAGTGTGCGGTGGTCAAATGAAGAGATGTTGGCTGGTGACGATCATTGATGTTGAATATCAAGTAGAGCTCTATAGTTAATTTTTTTTTAAAATGACATTTTTTATAAAATTTATCAAAATTTCACAATACTTTATCCGAAAAATTACTGTTAAAGGAGTTGAAAAAATTATTGTAAATAAAAAAAATTATATATTCTCACAAAACTTTTGTCCAATATATCATAAGTATATATTTTCAATCAGAAAGACATGACCCGATAGTAATACACTCTTTTATTAATATTAAAAGAAGTTATCTCTATATCAACATGATTTATTTTTATCTAATTATATCTTGAATAAGCATCCATGAAGATAAGCATATGATGGCTAGAAGTGTTGACCACCAACTAATCTATGTGGGGAGGGAGAAAATTAACCTTCATGTAAATTTTATTTAGATCAATATAACTTGTACATACCCACCAAACTGCACTAGTCTTCTTGATTATAACTATATTTTCCAACAAGGCTATAAACCTCTTGAATGAAATCAAAGTTTAAAAGTTTGTCAACTTCTTTATAGTGTGAAATTTTTATTCTTCTGAATGATTGGCTAGAACATTGAATCAATTTACTTGGTAGTGTAAGGTTATTTTAGGATCAATTCTAAGCATATATCTTTGACTCCAAGCAAAGATATTCTGATTTTATCCCAAGGAGTCTCTATATACTCTAGTCACTCCTCAAAGAGCAAAGAGCTAACTTGTATTGCTTGTGAGTGATGCTCATTTGATAACATAATATGAAACAATTACTTTAGAGGTGGATGCCCTCTAAAGCATATCTTCATATTGAATATTAAAGCTTTCAATGCTCAAAGTCACTGATGGTATTGGCCAGGCTAATTTGAGATAACATGTCTATGTCATTTATTGAAGTACATACTTCACAATCTCTATAAATAGTTGAAAATTTTATTTTTAGGTGTTATAAAATTGATAGCACCAAATATTAATTATAGATTGATAGGGAGAGTAATTATTCTTTACACTCTTACTAAATGATTGTTGAATCCATATAATGGTCTTATAGTTGGCTAGAGATTCTTCCCAATAATTGTATCCAAGTGAAGACATAAGAATAAGAATAATATATCAATTAAAATATTTTTATCAATGAAAATTCTCTTAACAATTTACCATGGTTCATCAATCCTAACATTGATGATAAGTGGCATTGGTATAAAGTTTGGATTAATTCCACATCATAATCATCAATCATAATAGAGTGATCAACATGTGATTTTTTTAATGTCTTATCTTCAAAGTGGTGAACAGAATTTTAGATAATTATAGTGGTCATTTACCGATAGTCTCAATTTCTCTAACCATTTGATGGTTATATTGTTGTCTTTGTTGTTGTTGATTATGTTTTGAATAAGATTAGTTCCATTTCTTATAGGTTGATTTATTATGAATTGATGAAGATAGCCCTACTGAATCAACAGCTCAATTTCTTCTTTCAATTATCTACATGCTTAATAGCATGCCTACAATTTCTATGAAAGTGATGTATCTCTCCTAATATAGTATTTGGCCTCAATTGATTGGTCCACTTAATATTTGTTTCATCTTGGATGACTATTAGCATTAGCATGAGATGTGTGTGGATGAAACTCCTCCTTTATATATTCATGATAATATTCAGAAAATTGATGTGGAAAATCTTGATTTCTATGTTGTTTATACTTTATTTGCTGAGATTCTTAAGTATCACCTTCTTATTGATTCTTTCTTTTTCTAGATGATTTCTAAAATTGCTATTGAAGTACACTAATAGCCTCAATTGAAGTATTTATGCTTCCACCATCTAAATACGATCAACACAAGAGCTGACAAATTAACGCATGAAAGAGTTGAGAGATGCAATGCGAAGTTATCTAAGAAATATATCTCACAATAACTTGAGATCCACTCTCATAATTTGACAACCTTTAGAGAAAAAAAAAACAAACTTGAAAGTACTCTTTCAAATATTCTTCTTGATTTTGATGGATCCCTTTAAGATGGGAGAAATGCTTGATAATTCTCTAATTGGTGATGAACCATTGGATAAAAAATTTATTAAGGTAAAAAAATAGAAATAATATAACCTAAGAGCAAGTAGAACCAACTACGAGCTTGGCCCTTGATAGTAGTAGGGATGACCTTACATAACTGTCATATAATGATCGATATGCTTATACAGATCAACTGACCCATCAAAAAGATTTATAACATGCATCTTAAATCCCATGGGAATGAGATGTTGGAGATACTCATAAGCTAGGGGCTAAAACTATTGATGGTTTCTATCCCTAACATAAAATTTTCTGAATGAGACATTGTAACTAATGCTATATATTGCCACTAAAAATGTCCATAAGGCGAGGCCAAGTTAAATCCATTGAAGTTGTTGGAGGATTTCACAAGAGCATACAATTTAACACATGAAAGAGTTGAGAGATGCAATGTGAAGTTATCTAAGAAATACATCTCGCAATAACTTGAGATCCACTCTCATAATTTGACAAGCTTTAGAGAAAAAAAACTTGAAAGTACTCTTTTAAAGATTTTTCTTGATTTTGACGGATCCCTTTAAGATGAGAGGAATGCTTAATAATTCTCTAATTGGTTATGAAACATTTGATAAAAAAATTTATTAAGGTTAAAAACATAGAAATAATATTACCAAAGAGCAAGTAGAACCAACTACGAAGTTGGCCCTTAACAGTAATAGGGATGACCTTACATGACGGTCATATAATGATCGATATGCTCATACAGATCAAATGACCCATCATAAAGATTTATAACATGCATCTTAAATCCCATGGGAATGAATTGTTGGAGATTCTCATAAACTAGGGGTTAAAACTATTGGTGGTTTCTATACCTAACATAAAATTTTCTGAATGAGACAATGTAACTAATCTCATATATTGCCATGTCCATAAGGCGAGGCTGATTTAAATCCACTGAAGTTGTTGGAGGATTTCGAGTTAGTCGAACAATTAAATAAGAATGAGTTGAATTAGCATTATCATTAAGTTTTGGATTAGGCTGTGATGAAAGACAAATATCTATATGATTATAAGGGAGTCCTGTGTAGGCTCTTTAAATTGTTCATCTCAATTTTATCATTGATTTTGTGGATCGCAAGCAACATCATATTATAATACTACTCTTTGTTATCTAGACTCATCTAAATGTGGAAGTATTCAAGTTTGTTGCTTCTCCATGCTTTATATCTAATCCTCTAAGGATGTGCCTCAAGGGCTTACTCTTGCCAGATTGCGATGCTTATAGTTATTGGATTGATTCTGGGTTTGATGAGTATTGGAACTAGAAAATCCATTGCATTTAATGAAAATGAATTTACTTCACTTGTTCTTTATGTCTGGCTAAATTCTTTAGTTTTGGATTGGTGGTGTAAATAGAATGTGGAGTACTAATGTATTCTCTTCATTAATAATTTCATTATGTTTTTAATATATCTGGTCTTCATTTAATGCACATGATGGTCATATGTGTAGTTAATATCATGTGTAATGTGGAGCATAGGAATAGGAAATTAGACACAATCAGGTATGTTGGATTGATATGATGCAAGCATAGGTATAATGCTTATCATGTATCAAATTTATAGAGATGAATTATCATTAGGGGATTTTAATAATACATGCTTTACTAGCTTTCTAAGATTTTCATAGGGTGACAAACTATAGGAGTTTAGAGTGGTATTGAGGTTGGAAGGTTTAATCTGTTCTTTATCTCTTCACGCTTGATTGAGCAATCAATGATGCATATGCTCTGAATAACATCATTATAAAAGAAAATCATTAGTAAACATATTATATTTACATTTCATCAATCCAAAATAATTTATCTAAATAATGTTTTATTTAATTATTTTTTACTTTAAATTAAGTGATTGAATCTCCAACAAAAATTATTTGTATTAAGTAGGATAATTATTGTAGTTGAAGTAGATAATACAAGTATTTGCAAGTAAACATTCTTTCTTGTGGGATCAATACTCTACTCTATCATTATATTGCTTGATTCGACATTTATAGTTGCATATATTAAGTGAGATTTTTATATTTTTTATATAAAAGAAAACATAAGCATTGTTTAGGAATTGATAAAACCTTAAATTATTTTCATAATTCTTTATGTGACTCCACCACTCCCATTAGAGACATATGAATAAGGAAGAGCCATAGGTGAAAGCAGGGGCGAAACCAGCCTTAATTTTCAGGGGGGGGGCAAACCTCTATAAGTGAAATGTTATTAATTTTCTTTTTTATTATTTATATATATATATCATTTTATACTACATGAATTATTTCGTACTTGAATACACTTTTAAAATCATCAATACTTACTTAATGATAATTATTCTTAAACAAAAAATAGTAACACCTCTACACCAAATGTGTCGGAAGGCCTCGGGGTGTCCCTGACCAAGGGTTCGACCTGCTCCTGTCAATTAACAGGCGTAATTCAGAGGCCAGTGCTTCTGCGGGGGTTTCCCGGGGCAGCGCCCACGAACAAAGTTTTGGTGGTAAGGACTATTTTTGAATTTATTTTTATTATTTCTCTTTTATTTTGTTCATCCGTTCTCTCTAACAATAAACACCCCACAACAATGTGTATAATTCTACTATAGGGCAATCACCTAAGATCATATTATTTTAATTTTTTTAGGGGGCGGGGGGGGGGGGAGGGGAGGGGCGCAATCACCGCTAACATATTCATAATAATAAACGAGTAAAAAAAAAAAAGATGGGACGAGACGAAATTATGATAAATTAACTCATTTGCGAATAATAAATATTGGGTGTGTGGAGGGGTGGGGGCAATTCCCCCTGGACACAAGGGTTCCGCCCGCTTGTGGTGAAGGGGGAGTGGTTGGGGGGGAAATCGGGAGGAAAGAAAAGACATGAAGAAGAATGAAGTAGTATATTCATGAGATAAGACAAATATATCATGGGTTTTCAAAATTGGATCGAACCGGGCATATTATTGATTCACGGTTGAATTGGTTGAATCGGCTTGTTTGTATGAAGAATCGACATATCATGTAACCGGTGTGAATTGACCCGAACCGATCCAAGTTTTTAAGAACTGGTAAATTCAATTGATTTTCTATTAAATAAGTTAATTTATAATGTTAAAGTAACAATTAAATTTTATACATTAGTTTAAATATAATATATTTACGTTTATAACAATTTGTAATAATCATTTATCAATTAATCACAAACAAAACTTACTCACACGATCCGCTACCTCATGTGAGCCATTAACACAAACAAAGTTAAAAAAGCTATATAAACAAAACAAAATAAATCTCCAAGTGATGTTAGTTGAAATATTTTACTTCAAAACATATAAATTATATATTTTAAACAGTTTTTTAAATTATTTTATAATATAAAAATAGTATATATTATGTGATTAATTATATTTATTGTTATCTATTTTTTTTTAGTTTTTAAATTTTATTATTAAAAAATAATTTTATTTATTAATTACATAAAATAAATCAAAATAAAAAAGAAAAACACTCCTGCATCCTTGATCCTTCACATTATTAAAGAGGTCTTGGATTAATGTAAATTTGAATCAATTGACCTAAATAAATTAAAAAAAAAAAAAACAAAGAAGATATTTCTTTTTATTTTCAACCATCAATAATTCAAAGGTTGCCACGTGGAAATCTGTGGGCCCCACATAAATTTTCGTAAGCCGTAACGTCTTTATCCTTGAGCAGTTAAAAAATTCCACCCTTTTATGTCGAATTCTCCCAAGTCCATAATTCATCGCCGCGGATTTCACGTGCACATCTTAAAGCTCTTAACAGAATCCGCTTATAATTTAGCTCTACAAAGCGTCAGTATTGTAATTAGCCCTTCATATTCTTTAACTCTTTCTCTATTTCATTACTCAACATAAGCGAGAGAAGTCAGAGAAGCCAGAGATCTAAGGGCGGGGCTTCGTTTCTTCTTGGTGACGGAAGAGATGGGAAAGTGGCAAGTTTTGATTTTTATGCTTCTTGGTGCTTTAATGGCGGATAAGAGAGGAGGAGTAAAGGGAGTCCCAGCAGAGGATTTAGTGGTGGAACTTCCAGGACAGCCCAAGGTTGATTTCAGGCAGTTTGCAGGCTATGTCGATGTGGACGATAAGACTGGGAAGAGTCTCTTCTACTACTTTGCTGAGGCTGAAAAAGAAGCGAACAAGAAGCCTCTCACTCTTTGGCTCAATGGAGGTATGATTGGATTTCATCAATCTTCTTTTACTTTTTTCTGTGGTTATTATTTTGATTTGGGGGAAGATAAAGCAATTACAGCAGCGAAAGTGCAGGAAGTTTGAAAGAACTATGGGGCTTAAAAAAATAGGACATGCTTCCGTATAAAATGACGTTTCACGTATCCTGGATCTGTACTGCTGCTACTGGCTACTGTTCTATTCAATTCTGGAAGAAAAAGCATGTGCATTAAAAAGCTCTGCAGAGAAAAAGCATGTGCTTTGGACTCTTGAATCCGAGTTTTTAGACTTTATATTTTTTATTTTATTAATTTTAAAAATATTATTATTATCCAGAATCAAATTTAATATTAATGCAAAATTATTCTTTTTTTTTCTTTTATCCAGAATCAAATTTAAGGAGTTGGTATTTCCTTTTGTTTATCTGTCAGTGATGTTGCAAACATTTCTTTAATAAGGAGACATACACAACTCACTTGGGCGTGTTGGTTGAGATCTAGGCTTCAACTAAGTTGTCTTGTGTTCGATTCTTTGTGTATAAGTGTGTGTGAATTTGCCTTAAATGGCCTAAATGTCCCAAAAACCAAAAAAAAAAAAAGAAACATGCATAAGGTTATTTGTTAAAGAAAAGGTTTAGTGTAGAAAGGTACATTCTGAGGTAAAAGAAAAGCTGATAAATGAAGTTAGGGCAGACTAACATAGGAATGTTAACAGAAGGAAGCAGAAATTTGTCTTCAAAAGTAGAGTTCTAAATGAAAATTTTGATGAAACCATGGTTTGTGTTGTCCATAGTTCAGTGGAATTTATTGCAGAGGAAAATACACGCATTTATTGAACATGAAATATGGATTATTTGAAACCATATAAAAGAAAAAAAAAATTTCTCCAACCATGATGATGTCATATAAACTTTAAACGGTTCAGTAACATTTACATGAAACTATTTCCTGCATAAGGATTCCCCTTTTTTTAATTATTAACTCACATAATGTTACTCATCATGTCATTCTTGTAGATTATGAGGCAAAGATATACTTTCCAACATTAATCATAATTGCACTGTCATGTCAAAACATCATATTGCACTGTGTATGGAATCAGTGTCTTAAATAATGTCTCATCTCTTTCAATAGTGAGTTTAAGATTTCGTTTTGGGACGTTTTTTTTTACTATTTTTTGAAACAGTTTTTGAATATATATATATATATATATATATATATATATATATATATATATATATATATATATATATTTATTTATTTTTTATTAAAAAACTGTTTTAAAAAGCAGCAAAAAAGTCGTCCCCAATGAAGCCTAAAATCTCTTTTCATGTTGAGCTGGACTATGTTAGTTTCTATAAAGACTTTCGTCAAACTGCTCTGGCATTTCTAAAAACTCAATGGCAGGCCCTGGGTGCTCTTCAATTGGGGGTGGTGCATTCACTGAACTGGGACCATTCTTTCCAAGAGGGGATGGAAGAGGTCTCCGTATAAACAAGCATTCATGGAATAAAGGTCATCTCATTTAATAACTAAATCACAAAGTAGATTTTATGTGTTTTACTAAGTGAAGTTCATTTGCTTATATATAAATAAAATGATTGCTGCAAAGCTTCATGCACCTCAATAGTACTATTTTTCATATTCACAGCATCAAACCTACTATTTGTTGAATCTCCTGCTGGAGTTGGATGGTCTTATTCAAACGTAACTTCTGATTACACAAGCGGAGATGCATCTACTGGTAAAATTTGTTTGTAATATTTTGCTACAAAATAGCAAAAAAAATTTATGTTGTAGCGTATATAGTTTGATCTGACGGCTTAAATCATTTGATCAATGAAGCAAATGACATGCAAGTTTTCTTGTTACGATGGTTTGAAAAGTTCCCTGAGTTCAAAACTCGAGACTTGTTTCTTACAGGAGAAAGCTATGCAGGTTAATTACCTTCTTTTTAACTCGCAAGATTTTATTTCAAAAAATTTTTCTGATCAGAATAATTATTGGTTACAGGGCACTATATACCACAACTTGCCATTGTTCTCCTAAAGCACAACAAGCATTCAAAGAATTTCAAGTTCAACATTAAAGGAGTTTTTGTAAGAATCTGCTAACCTATATGCATTGCAACAAAGATATTTATTTAACTAAAGCTTCACATTTTATGATTTTTTGCTTGAGTAGATTGGGAATCCTCTTCTGAAGCTTGACCAGGATGCGCCAGCTACTTACAATTATTATTGGTCTCATGGGATGATTTCTGATGAGATAGGCCTTAAGCTGATGAATGAGTGTGATTTTGACGATTATGAAAGTAATGATTCCCACAATATCAGCAAAACATGCAATGATGCAATTGCAGAAGCAGATAAAGTAGTTGGGGATTACATAAACTCATATGATGTGATCCTAGATGTTTGCTATCCAGCTATTGTGGAGCAGGAACTGAGGCTGAAAAAATATGCACGTTGACTCCAAGAAACACTTTATATTTAACTTCCTTTGGGATGACTTTCTTACTGCTTCTTAAAACAACGTTCTAGTACAAAAAGTTTAATTTTTGTACTAAAAAATTGCTTGAAGAAACAGTAAGAAAGCCGTCCCAAATAAAGCCTTAGTTACTTGAATGGTTGTTTTTATTTTTTTATGAGTCTTCTATAATGGCAGGCAACTAAGATGAGTGTTGGGGTTGATGTATGCATGACTAGTGAAAGGCGGTTTTATTTCAATCTACCAGAGGTTCAACATGCTCTACATGCCAACAGAACCAGTTTGCCTTATAGCTGGAGTATGTGCAGTGGGTGAGTACTATAAGGCCTGCCCACTAAATCACCAAGGCTTCGTTTGGGACGGCTTTTTTGGTGCTTCTTAAAACAATTTTCTACTATAAAAAAAAATTAATTTTTGAACTAAAAAGCTGCTTTAAGAAGCAATAAAATAGCCGCCCCAAACGAAGCTCAAGTCTTCCATGTATCTTGTGTTTTAGGAATGTTCAATACCATAATTCACTCGTCTAGTGTTTTTAAGATATTCTTCAATTTCATCCAACGCATAGCTTTTATTCAAGCATTCTGAAATCTACTACTGCTAGAATTTATTTACTTCATTAAGACTACAAAGATAGATATTTCATATGAACATAGATGTCAGACAAATTGATATGCGGATTCTGATATTAATGATGTCAAATAGATAGCATTATGTCCTTATGAGTCCCATTCTGTGCAAATAAACTGTTTGTTTCTCTTTGATATGAGTTGGTTGCTTTCATTTTTATGTTTTCCGGCTTCTCTCTCTTCTGTTCTTTACAAGAAAAAAAGACATTTTAACTAAACATTCATTTGTAAATTGTTTTGTGCGTATGTGCATCATATAGTTAAGCCGTATGAATATAATTTGGCTTGTACAAATTCTTTCAGGTTCCTAAATTACAATGAAAGTGACGCAAACATCAATATGATACCATCCCTTAAAAGAATACTAAGAAAACATATACCAGTTTGGGTTTTCAGGTTAGCATTTATGTTAGACTTATGATTCTATTTTCAATCGATGTTTCTTAAGAGAAGCTTAATGAACCTTAATCTGCAGTGGTGATCAAGACTCTGTAGTGCCACTCCTTGGCTCTAGGACACTTGTTCGAGAGCTAGCACATGATATGCGATTTGTTGTTACCTTGCCTTACACTGCTTGGTTCCACAAAGGCCAGGTAGCTCTTTCCTTAGGCTCTTTACAAAGTAACTTGCATAGTTAACCTGATAATGCAAGGAAAGTGTTTTTCTTTAATTCTTTCCGATGGAATGATCCAAAATTTTCTATGATTATATATTTTTTTATTCAAAATGTTGAACTTGAAATAGTTTCAGCTTTAAAATCTTGTCCGAACATATTTAACAATTTTCTTGTATGATGTTTCATTCAAGTTTTAATGAGCTGAACTTCCTTTACAATGGTTTTACAGTATCTTAAACTTCTTTGCACTCGTTCTGCTGCCTCATAGAACTGAATCGTATATTTTTTGGTCTTTACTAAAAGCCCAATGCTAATGTAGTCCGCAGATAACTACATCAAGCTAGCTAATAATTTACTTGGCATAGGCACAATTTTATATGCCCACTTAACAATTTAGAGGATTTGAACAAGCTTTATATAAGATATGAAATGAGTCTTGACGTACATAAAATAATTAAATAGCAGATGAAGATATTACCAAGCTTTTATAGAGCTACTTTTCAAACAACAAAGAAGCACATTTAAAAGGACAACATAACTCTATTTGGCCTAGTACTTTTGTGCTCAAATATTTACACTCTTGTTAGTTGAGTTAATCAATGCAAATGAGCAGAGCCATAGGCCGACAATTAACCTTTGCCTAGCATAATAGCTTCCTTGAATTCCTAACTGAACGTATATGATATTTTCCACATTAAAATGGGGTACATAGAGTAACTCTATTTCCACTCATTTTCTTTATTTTTTAAGTTTTACTTGATGATATTTTTTTAAACCTTAGAATTAAGGGAGTTTTATTTTATCCCTTATTATTTAAGTTTTGCTTGCTTGTTAATAATTTCCTGAAATCCTTCTTTCATATCAATAGGTTGGTGGATGGGTGACTGAGTACGGAAACATCCTCACATTTGCGACAGTTCGAGGAGCTGCTCATATGGTACCTTATTCACAGCCAAATAGAGCTCTTCTTCTCTTTAAATCATTTGTAAATGGTCGGAGACTACCAATTACAACCTATCCTCCCATTGATGACTAAGATAGCGCCTGAAGTTGCATTTATGAGCAGGATTTAGAATGTTACGATTTGTTTGTTTTATCTTGAAATGGAAAAATGAGTTGAATAAGTTCTGATTAGTGCATTTATGCATTATTCACCCAAACAAAGAATTAAGATCCCTCATACTACGTCGGCTTCTTGGCTCGTCCCTTTTCCTGTTTTGAATTTTTGGTGAAATGTAGTTATTGACGTGGAAACCATATGATTAGACTAAGTACATCTTACACAAAGTCAATTGTTTAATCCCCGCTTATGTTCTTTGCTTTTTCTATTTGATTATACTGGATAATGATTCAAAACACAAGGTAAATTGAACCCTTGGCTAGTTAGCATCTCCACCTATTAGAGAGTACTCATGATTTGTCAGAGTGGCTATAAAATATCTTTAGATAAACTAGTATGCAAAACATAGTCATCATTATCAACCCATCTCTTTCCCTGCAGTTGGTGATTCCCCTTTTTTTGCAATTATTTTTTTCTCCACAGATGGGTCATAAAGATGCGTTGTCCCCTAGAACCACGGATAACTTAGTTTGTCCTGTTATGCTACAAGGATTTAACACTCAACACTCGCCAGATACATCCAAAAACATACATTGATAGCTCAAAATCAGAAAGAGTAATCCTAACCTCCCCAAATATAATCCCAAAAAGTTTTGTTAAGGGCAGTGCCACTAAAATCTATGTATAATCTTGTTTTGATAGTACAACAAAAGCGTCAAGCCCACTACGTGAGGTCGGCTACATAAATCTTTTTTCTCCATTGTGTTATATTAAGAGTCAAATTCTTATTTAAATTTAAGAAAAAAGGTCATTTATAATATTTGCTAATTAGGTCCTTTTTTTGGCTAATTAGGTCTTTATAGATCTACCTCCACCTTTCTTTACGTGGGTCAAATCTAATACATCCACTCTCCTAATCATGTCATCTAAGGCTTGACGTTTTATGTGACAACCATCTAAGACGACTCTATATAATCTTATCTACCATTGGAACTACTCTAACCTTTTCACGTAAATGCTCGTTTTGCATTTTGTCTCTAAGAGTAAAGCCACTCATCCACCTGAGCATCCTCATCTCTGCAACACTTAACTTAATTTTATACTTTTCTTTTAAAGGCCAACATTCTGCATCATAAAGTATTGCGGTCTCACCATTATCATAGAATTTTCCCTTAAGTTTGAGGGGTAGTTTTCTATCACACAATAGGCATGATGCATTCCTCCACTTCAATCATCCAACTTGAATTCTACAAATAATATCCCCCTCTATTTCACCATCACTTTGGACAATAGGCCCGAGAAATATAAAATGTGTACTCGCATTAATGACTTAATCACCAAAGTCACAATCCCACCATTAGATCTATTATTACTAAAATTATACTCCATGTATTCGGTTTTAGATCTACTCAAACAAAAACCTTCAGACTCTAAGGTTGATCTCCATAATTCAAGTTTAGCTTCAACTCCCTCTCTAGTCTTATCAACAAGAAGAGTATCATCAGCAAAAAGCATACATCAGGATACAACCTCTTACAAATGTCTAGTGAGAACATCCATGATTAAAACAAAAATATTTGGGCTTAAGGCTAATCCTTGATGTAATCCAACTGAAATAGGAAAATACTTGGTCAAACCACCTCGTGTTTGAACACAAGTAACAACTCTTGCATACACATCCTTAATGCTTGAATATGAGCATTATTAACCCCTTCTTTTCTAGAACTCTCCATAGCACTTATCTTGGTACTTTATCATATGCTTTCTCTAAATCAATAAATATCATATGTACATCCTCCTTATTCTCTCTATACCTCTCCATCAAACCTCTCAATAAATGTATAGCTTGAATAGTAGACTTACCCGGCATGAATCCAAATTGATTTAGAGAAACATTAATATCACGTCATAACCTATGCTCAATAACTCTAGCATGACACATTAACTTAATTCCTATATAGTTTGCACTCCTATGCATCACCATTATTCTTAAAAATAAGAATCAATACACACCTCCACTCATCTCACATCTTTTTAATCTTCAAAATAATATTGAAAAGTTTAATAAGCTAGGAAATTCCTTCATCTCCTAAGTATTTTCACATCTCTATTGGAATATCATTAGGTCCAACAGCTTTTTCACATTTCATTTTTTTCTTCAAAGTCTCTAACTTTGATTTTGCTAAAACATCGATAAAAAAAAAATCTATGTTTTCATTTAAGGTGCTAATGTCTCTAAAAATAAACACATTCTCATAATATTCATTGAAAAGCTTATCAAAACATCTCATGCACTAGTTTTGATAGTAGAATAACAAAAAAAAAAATTGAGGGAGGGTAACACTCAGAAAATATGGCACCTCGTTTTTTAAACGTGGAAGAAATATTTGTAAAATTTTTTTCAGATACTAGAGTTTGAGGAAATAAAAGGCGCTCCTCCTAGGTCTTTATTACTTTTTATTTTTTTAAATGCAATTTTGATGTGTGACAAATGAGCTTCTGATATCCCAATCTCCACATACGCTCTATATGACAGAGTGATAGTACCGTGATTTTATTTTCCACGTAACAACAACACAATTAAGCTCGGTACCAACGTAGAAAAGTTTCTATATTATTTGATAGAATCGTATTGAACAGTTTCATAATAAACTGAATAAGGATAATGAATATAATGATATACTTAATGAAATTGGCCTTTTTTTTGTCTTCTTGGACTTTAGACCTATGCCAGTTTTTTAAAAACATATAAAAATGATATATACATGCAACAAATTACTCAGAGAAGATATCAGCAATGTAAAAAATAACAAATTTCCGGACGCACTATAGAATATTAAATAAAGAAATCAAACTTGATTAATACAGAAAAGGATTCTAATCATGTCAATAATTTTTATTTGGCAGGTTATATATTGCAAAATTAAACCATCAGATTAGAACATATGATGATTCAATGACAGGAAATTGTTATGTTAAGCTTATTGGCTACGTTTATTATTATTATTATTGCTTAATTCATTTTGCATGAGAACCATCTCTATGATTTCATGAACATATGGTCCAACACATGACAAAAGCTCAAATGTTTTTTGCTGTGATCATCATCATCATCATCATCATCATCATTATGATCATCATTATCATCATGAATTCATTAAAAGAATGCATGCCTGGACAGTTTCAAAGTAATTTTAAAGCAATGTCTGCGATTAACTTCAAGACAAAGGAATATTTGGAGACATAAGAATGCTTTGGCTAGAGTTAGACTTCATAAGATGGTTAGAATTGTAACTGACCTAATAAGCCCCTTAATAACTCCAACGTCCTCTTTGAAAATTGGCAAGAAACATCCCCTTGGTAGAAACCAAGCCTTCTCCCATTCACTTCAATCCAACTGCATCCTGGGGTCTTAACCACCCCCAATGCCCTCATCTTCCTCCTCATCTCAGCCACGCCATGCCAATTCCCAGCTCTCTCATAGATGCTACAGAGTGCCACACAGTTGCTAAGATTCTCTGGTTCCAATTCAAACAACTTCATTGCTGCAATCTCCCCAATTTCAACATTTTGGTGCACTGCACAAGCAGCAAGTAATGCCCCCCAAATGCTTGCCACTGGTTCAATCTCCATCTTCTCAATGAGTTCAAGTGCCTTCTCAATGCTTCCACAGCGACCAAGAAGGTCTACCATACAAGCATAGTGCTCAATGCTTGGTTCCAATCTGTAGACCCTGCTTATTGAGTCGAACACTGCATGCCCATCATTGATGAGACCAGAATGACTGCAGCTCGAAAGCAATGAAGTGAAGACGATAGAATTGGGCTCCAATCCTTGTCCTCTCATCTTCTCGTAGAGCCTCAGAGCCTCTTTTCCTCGACCATGAATACCATAACATGATATCAAGACCGACCACGTTAAAAGATTTCTGACACGCATACTTGAAAATAGCTGGCAGGAAGCATCCAAGAGTCCACACTTGGAATACATGTCAATCAAAGAATTGCCAACAGCGACATCAAATTCTAATAACAAAAACCTAACTGCTCTGCCATGAACCTCCTTTCCTCTCCTCAAATCTCCACTCTGGCTGCAGGCACTGAGAACACTTGGGAGTGCCATCCAATCCGCATCAACAGCTTCCCACTGAGACTTTTGGAATAAATTGAGCGCCTCAGTGAGAAGCCCAGCTTTTGTAAACCCAGTAACCATGGCATTCCAAACAACTCCATCTTTCTCAGGCATCTGTTCGAACATCTTGCGAGCATCAATCAACCTCCCACATTTTAAATACATATCTACAATTGACCCACTAACGATAAGGTGGATGTCAAGAGCCATTCCAATAGCGAAAGCATGGAGCACGGCACCTGTGCGGCCATGGCCAAGGCCAGCGGAGGCCTTGAGAAGGGAAGGTAGAGTGAAGTGGTCAGGACGGAGGCCAGAAGCAAGCAAGGGGCGGATGAGGGCTAGTGAATAGTGAAAAAATGAGGATTGAGCATAGGAGGAGAGGAGGATGTTCCAGGAATGCAGAGGTCGGTGAGGCATACGGTCGAACACTTGGCGGGCGATGACGAGGCGGCCGCAGCGCGCGTACATGAGGAGGAGGTCGGTTTCGAGGGTGGAGTGTGGCATGAGGCCGAAAACGAGTGCATAAAGATGGGCTTGCTTCCCCTGTCTTAGGGCGGAAGCGGCGGCGCATCGCCGTAGGATAGACGAGAGTTGCGCCGGGGTGGTGTTTGGAAGCGGCATTTCCCGCCATGCGAGTCATGAATGAAGCTAACTCATTGAGCACAAATTCTTACTGGCATTGCAAAATTTTAAAAATACTAGTATTTAATAAAAAAAATGTTTAGGAGGAGATCAAGTCAGCCTAAAAAATGGATAAATTATTATGTGCAGACTCAAAATATCGTGTGTAGATCAATCAGAATGCATCACATCACCTTTTTACTTTGTATTGCGGCTCGGTGCCGCTCGGTACCATGACTTACTATGATTAACGTGACGCATTTTGATTGATCTCTAAACGACATTTTAAGTCCAGCCTCCGCACAGAATAATTTCTCTCTTAAATGGCTATATGATCTATGTCACTATGAAAAATTTGCGATGGTATCAAATTTATAAGTACATTCTTTTTTTTTTTAACTTTTATGTTAAAAAATAAAACAAACTTTATATCTTAAATAAGATTTAAGTTTAATTTTCTTAATCAAGTTTTAGTTTTATTTAAATTTATATAGTTTAGAATAATCGATTTGAGGATGTGATGAAATATATATGTCAATGAAAAAATAGGAGGATTTATTTACATAACACTTAAAATATTAAAATATGCAACACCTAATATTTACTATTTATCTAATCTGACACTTTGTTAATATTGTTAAAAATTTTTGGTGGACATGATTTTGATCTGTGTGTTCGCCAATGACCTCCAATGCCAAGCCATCACAATAGAAAGAGGAAGTTACCATGTTGGCGGAGGCCTTATTGCCGTCCATGGAGCTTTTATCGATTCCTTTTTCTCCCACTCCTTTCCTCCATTTCCAAGTACAACGGAAGTATTTGCTTAGGGAGTAGCCGTGAGAGTTGTTGCGGTTAAGAGATCGGTTGTTGTTATTAGAATCAGAATCGGGGCTTCAATATTTGACACGACCAAAAAATAATGATTTTTTTTTTAATTTTTTTTCTTATGACCCAACCCAGCCAGCTGTGAAAATTTTGAAATTGTGGCAGCCTACTTGTTTCATATTTTTAAAAACTCATGAAAGCTATCAAATATTTAGGATTTTTTCGGAATACAACTTTTAGTACCTATTGAGAAAGAAAAACGAGAAACAGACGATAAAGATGAAAATTTGTGTTTGGAGGACGTCACATTCTCTAAAGGACCAATAATAAAAAAAAAAGCTTAAGAATTAGATGTAATTTACTTATCTAATAATTGCTGTTCAATATATATTATGAGACAATATACATTTTGCTGAGCTTAACTTTTCAACAGAGAAATCTGCCGTAAAGGCAAATACAATATAATTGTGTTCACCTTTAAGGTAGATTAAGTTCTCAAACAACCCCCAATGCTTCAATGAAAATTTTATAAACCGGGCAGTAATAATTTATATGTGTTTTTTGTGATGTTTCACACACATTAACTTAAAATGTATTCTTAAAAAAAAAATATTTCAAATGCCACGAAAACACGTGCTTTTGTATAAAATTTTATGTAAAATAATAATTTTTTTGAAGCTCATTTATTCTGTCATATGTCTAATACATAGATGTGTATAAGGGATATTTTTTTTGGAAGATGTTATTTTTTTATAATCTTTTTTACAGTTAGGTAATTTTTTTAACTAATAGAAACTGTGTATTGCTATGTATTAATGCATATTATTATGTATTCAAGTTATATGAATACACAATTTTTTATTTGTTTATTTAAAAACTTTTTGAGCTATTATACAGCTAGCTGTGTATTAGAAAAATTATATTAGAAAATACAATTTTTTTTCTAACATACACTGTGTATTGCTATAATGCTATGTATTCAAGCTAATAAAAGCACTATTTTATTTGTTCATTTGAAAGCTTTTTGTGCTTTTACGCAACTATATATTAGAGAAAATGCTAAAGAGAGACAAGGATGGAAGAGGGAGAGAGAGCTCACATGATTTTCTTGGAAGGGAAAAACAGAACTAAATCTTATTCAATTTACCATATTTGAAATAAATACAAGTCACGTCTATTTAAACTAAAACAACCTTAAAAGGCAAAATAGTAAAACTGAAATAATATAAAATCGGGCTAAATACTAATATTATGTGTATATTTAATCTCCAACCGAACTCCAATATTAGCATGGCAATGTTCACAACTGAGATAAAATGCAAAATGAGTGTTTCCATTGTCATTCAGTTGGACGTTCGCCTGAACTTCAAATGGACGAATGATGTGGGCAAATTTTCGAAGTAAGCATAATTAACAATTTAGCTATGAGATTAAGCATGACGCTGAAAGAATTTAAAAATAGGCAAAGTCTCTCATTTGAAAGGCGAGTTAGGTCTTGTTGCGGGCTAGAATATATATGGTGATAGAGTTTTAATCGTTCGTCTTAGCGTTACACGGATATCCAGCTCACACAAAAAGAATATAAAATTTTTTACGTGGAAAACCCTTGAAAGGGGAAAAACCACGGGGCCCAGCCCAGTTGAAAAGATTTCAGTAATACTTGAGTTGGTTACAATGGGCTGACTCGTCTCTGGGGACGATCAGATTACAAATAACAATTGTACAATAGAAATCCGGGTGTCAGGAGATGATCTGACAGAGCTTTGAGCCTCAGAGGATGGTCTGACAGAAATTCGGGCCTTAGATGATGACCTGGTGAAGATGAGGGCTTCTGAAGATGGTCGGACGAAAGTAAGGCCTCAAGTGGTGGTCCGTCGGAGCAACGGCTTTAGGCGGCGGTCCGACGGAGCAAAGGGAGTCAGGTGGTGGTCCGGTGGAGCATCCACGTTAGGCGGTGGTTCGGCGGAGCACAGGGCGTTAGGTGGTGGTTCGGTGGAGCAACGGCGGTAGGCGGTGGTCCGACGAAGCACAGGGCATCAGGTGGTGGTTCGGCGGATCAACGACATTAGGTGGTGGTCTGGCGAAGCACAGGGCGTCAGGTGGTGGTTCGGCCGAGCAACGACGTTAGGTGGTGGTCCGGCGAAGCACGGGACGTCAGGTGGTGGTCCGGCTGTACAACGGTGTTAGGAGGTGGTCCGGCGAAGTACAGGGCGTCAGGTGGTTGTCCGGCGGAGCAACGACGTCAGGAGGTGGTCCGGCGGACGTCCGACGTTGGTGGAGCAGCGGTGGTTCGTCGGAACTCCGTCGGTGATCGAGGAGGCTAAGAAGCAAGAGCGATCTCCAATCTCTCTCTTTTTTCCTTAGGCTCAGGGGTCCTCTTTCAAGAGGAGAGTGAGCTCTATTTATAGATTTTGGGAATGACATGGCCCGTAAATAGATGGAGGATCAAGGGTAAGTTGAGAGTGGTTGGATGGACGGCCGATCTTGAATCCCTTGATCATGAACCGTTTGATGGACATTTGAATGTCGTAGTGATGTCGGAATTCAGTGATCTTGGGCTCGTTGTATTCGTCTCGTCGAGCCGCTCGATTTGATTATAAGTTTGTTATGTTTGGAAGATGTTTGATACTCCAAATTGTGGTTTGAACCTTCCAACAGTGCTTCGGGTCCTTGATTTGGACCCATTTGGGCTTGGATTGGGTCGAATTAGGTGTCGTTGGGTTCGTATTTTTGAGACGCTCAGTTTGACTGCAAGTTTGCTGAAATCGGAGTTCATATGCTCCTAATTTTAATTTCGGAAGTTTCCAACTTGATTTTGCCTTGAGATTCATGCTTGATCAAGATAATTTTCGGATGATGTATGAGGTCTAATTCAAAGGACGACGCGGCAGATGATGTGGCAAGTAGAGGAGTTAAGGTTAGTTGTCCATTTAATATGCGACTTATAAGTCGCCCGTTAACCGGGCGACTTAGTTTTTAATAAATTTTTTGCTTTCCCTTTCCCGATCCTTTCCTCTCCTTCTTAGCCATTTTTCGCAGCTGCTTCTGTTCTTCGCCGGCTTAAGGTTAGGTAAGGTTTTATTTATGCATTTTATGTTAATTAAGTTAAATATATGTTGATTATGGTTTATTTTGCTTAGAGAAGATAAGATTCATGCTTTGTGAACTGTTTCTCTAATTTTTTTATGTAAATATCTTTGTTTGTTGAATATATTTCAAAATTTGTTTGCGATAAGTAAGATTTCTACATTTAGGATGTGAATGTTTTAAATATTTTGTAGATCTGTGATTTAGGGTTAAATTATATATAGATTGTGATTTAGTGGCTATTTGTGCGGTAAATATACATGTTTTTTGTGTTATTTTGGGATGGAGAAGATGAAGGTTGGATAACAAATTTATTTGAATTTTTCATATTTGGTTATTAAGCAATGCTCATTATATTTTGAAGTTAGTGTATATTCAAGTAAATTTTTGGGTTAATTTAACATGTTTGGAAATAGGTAAATTTTAAAAAATTTAATTTAAATTTTATATATTAGTTGTAATAATTTTTAATTATGTTGAAGTTATATGTATGTTAGTTGGTTTGAGAGATATGTATTTAGGCATGTGGACAAGCAAACATAAGAGTAGAAAGGCCTACTTCCCTTATATTAAAGGTTAGTGCATGTACGGAGGTATCAATACGTTAAGATAGATTTAAATAGCTTATGCTTTTGCGACAACTTAGCACAATTCTAATTTTTTTTGTGACATGGGAATTGAAGTCATGTAACTATTATGTCGACAAATATTTTTTAAAGTTGATATATAAAAATTAAATTTGTGTTGAAAAGTTGTGTATTATTGATTTATTAATATTATCCATGAGTTTATATTTATGAAAAATATATATTTAGGCATGTGGACAAGCAAACGGAAGAGATAAGTAGAAGTAATTTAATGGATATTAAATTTTTTCATAATATACTAATCATTTAAATATGTTGATGTCATAATTGAATTAATGTAATTTTTCATTATGATATTCTCATGTTAATATTAGGATTTAGAAATAATATAAATTAAAATAAACATATATTAAAAATTTGTTATTTGTTCATATTTTTTAGTGGCACGTACGAGTTGAATAATGAGTGGACGTGGTGCAACATTCATGCTCCTGTATGGAGGTGAGTTACAAGTTGATGACAAATTCGCACCAAGTTATTATGGGGGTAGGAATCATTCTTTACATGTGCCAA